TATAAGGGAGGTTGATTGACGGTTGATGAGCTGCACCTGCCGGGCCCCGCCCCCGTGGGCATGACACATGGTACATGAATTAGTAAGAGGAACAATTCAGAATCAGCCTCAATTCAGAATGTCTATTAGAGCAATATTTAGGCAAGAAATACCTTCTCTGCTCCAGCAGGTAGAAGGTGATGCTGTGAGCGAGGATTTTGACAATCGTTTGATTAGTCCATGAGGCGACAGCCACTACAGAACTGGCTACAGCCATAGCCACTACTAGCTGTTCCCCTGATAATAGGCTACTACCTCACTTTAGAATGTCTTTAGGACACTTTTCCACCACACCTGGTACCGTCCTTTTGGTACAGTGCTATCAATATTTTCGAATTGATTACCAGTACCAAAAATTCCAGTACCTATAGAGCTAAATCACCTGGGGTACTTTTTTGGTACTTTGCTACGTCACTTAGATTATATTTCGCCCGCATGCCAATGTCACATTTAGGGTCTACATTTACATTCAATATTTAACATTTACATCTAACATATATACAGTGGTACCTTGGTTCTCGAACTTAATCTGTTCCAGACTCCGGATCGAATCCTAAAAAGATCGAGTTCTGATCAAATTTTTCCCATAAGAAATAATGGAAAACCAATTAATTGGTTCCTGGCTCCCCAAAATTACACCTAAATATGTTTTTTTAGCATTTAAACACAAAATGAACAGGGTAAAACAAGAAGAGCATTTTTTTCTTAATGGCTTCCAAAACGATAAAGATCTTATCCCAACATTACCCCTGTCCTGCCCCAATCGTCCGCTCCTTCCATGAGCCACGCCCCCTTGTTAACGTGTGGGATCCCCATGTCATCAGCTTTTTCTGGTTGTTGTCATTCGGTTTGTTTCCCCAGTTCGGTCATTGGGTGCGTTCGACTTGCTTACAGCGCTGGCTTAAAGCAACGCATTCTGATCCTGACGCAATGCATTACGGTTAGATGAACCTGTACAATTCAATTGAAAAGCTGCTAGGGGGTAAATATATATATATATATATATATATATCTAAATATATAAATTGTGTTTGCATAAGTATGCACACCCTTATACTAATACTTTGTTGTAGCACCTTTTGATTGACCCCAAATAAAGTTCAGCTATCCTAGTAGGATTTTCCTAACATTTACTTAGTTGCATCCTACACCAAAAGCCGTGGTCCACAGAGAACTTACAAAGGGATCTCACTGTTGAAAGGAAGCAGTCAGGATAAGGGTACAAAATATTTCTCTGCAGACTATGGCTTTTGGTATAGGGTGCAACTAAGTAAATGTAAGGAAAATCATACTTGGGCAGCTTAACTTCATTTGGGGTTAATCAGAGTCATTTGAATTGATGGCAGGTGTGTTCCCAAAAATACTGAATGCTGTAATTAAATCAGAAGGTGTTTGAACAAAGTATTAGTTTAACCCTTTCAACCCTATTCATTTTTGAGTGTTTTTCTATCCCTTTGGTTTTAGGCTTATTATACTGTATGTACATGAGTTGGCCACATATGCTGTATGATTTTGTTTTCAGGACATTCTGGGCTATTCAAATATGTGATAATTTCAAGTTAATGTTAACAGTCTTGATATCATCATTTAAATGAGGAAAAACTACTTGTGCTATTAAATTTTCTCAATTTTTAGTCTGCTGGACGAGTCTCAACTCTCCTATCTGTCAAACCTGGCTACTCGACCAGTGTAACAGTAAAATTTAGAACATAAAGAAGTTACAAATGAGAGGAGGACATTTGGCCCATCAAGCTCGCTGGGGAGAACTTAAAGTTGTTTAAATTCTATCTAGGTCTGATTTAAAGGAACCCAGGATTTTAACTTCACTACACTAACAGGAAGACTATTCCATACTGTTACTACACACTGTGTGGGCTCCAGGCCGCTAACATACATAATATACCTGGGGGAACGAGCTGGGCAGTTGAAAACTGTGCATTTTTCCATATGCATGGGATGGACTTTTGCTAGATGTTTCGACAGATTGCTTGTGTTTCCGTCATTACATGCAAAAGACTTGTTGCACTTGTGGCAACGAGCATCGTCAGCATCGACTCTAGTCAAATGTAATTACACTTTTGAATATTTAGTTCCATTATCACTTAAAGCAGACTGTTTGTACGTGTGCCGCATGTTGCTGCCTGTGAGAGAGAGCAAGAAAGAGAGAGAGTGAGCTGTCCCATGCCCTACCCTTCACACACAGGCTCTGAGAGATATCACTCTCTCTTCTGGATTAAAAATAGTGAAAATGCAATCAGAAGCAGAGCTGGGGAGATGAGATGTGCAAGAAAACTTTTATGTAGCAATAATAAATAGGAAATCTATTTTCTTCATTTCTCCAGTACTGAAAACAGAACTGATAATGTTGAAGCTTATTGATTCTATGATGTTTAATACCTTAGCCCCAGGGCCCATTTAATACCAGGTTTCAGTACCCATCCCTACTTATTGCAAAGGTGGCATCCTATTACAATACCACGCTTGAATTCAGTGAGCTCTTCAGAATGACCCATTGTTTCACAAATGTTTGTAAACTTGATTGCATGGTTAGGTGCTTGATTTTATGCACCTTGTGGCTATGTTTGTGAATGAAACGTCTGAATTCAATGATTAAGAGGTGGGTCTCAATACTTTTGTCTACACAATGTATGTTTACGGTACATATCTGCAATATTATTGATAGAATGAAAAGCAATATACATGCAAGCAGAAAAGAGTATGAAGCAGCTACAGTATGTGCACAGAGTGTAAATGAATCCGATGGTCTCTTCACAAAATTTTATGGACTTTGTACTAGGCAACTAGCAGGGCAAAGCTTGTAAAATGTCTGGTACGACTGTTTTGTACATTTGCATTCACACTTACAGCCCCTCAAGGTAGCTTTGAGAAAAGTACCAGGTAGCAGTGCATGTCTGAAAGGGGCTACTGTCTGTCTGTTATACCCGCAAACACAGTGGCCCATCCATTTTTGTCTGTGTTGTAATTGCTGATAGGGTTTGTCTTGTTTTGTTCAATTTCGTCTGTCTGCCCTGCCAGTATCTTATTGTCTTGTTATTTCTTTTTGTTTGGTTCACTTGTGATTGTTACTTTACCAGCTAGAGGTTATTTGGTTAATTCCAGTTAGGGTGTAACAATTGTTTTTTTATTATTATTTATATTATTTATTTTATTGTCAGTGCATTGTGTATTTTTTGAGGGGATCCCCATCTCTGTTATTGCTAGCCTGGAGGGGGTCTCATTTTCTTTTCCTGTTGAAGTGTGTTTTGTGTCCGTTTTGTTTTCCGCAGTGGTGTTTTCTGTTTCTTATGCATTTAACTATACCTATTGGGTATTGAGTATTATTTGATGTACTGTGAACCAGAGATGGGAACTCCAGTCGCACTTAAGTTGCAAACACAGTGACTTGACTTGGACTCAAGATTTGGGACTTGTGAACGATAGCTTAAAATAATTTACTTTATGGTCATATATGCCAAAAATATCATGAGGGCCTGGGTGAAAGACTTGGGGAGCACGTGTGATGGAGCAACAAAAGGAGACTAAACGGCCTGAACTAGATTGGAAATAATGTGGATCACAGAGGATCAAAAGGGAGGCTATGGCATGGGCAACAAGAAGGTATGATGTCCATGACTGGACTGGGGAGCACAGGACTGAGAACCACTTACCTGTATATATAAGGCTACCGAGGGAGCAAAAGAGAGGCAGGTGGAGTGAGTAACACAAGGACAGGAATAAGAGGTAAGACAAACGATCAATACACGTGGATTGTTAGGGCCACACTAGGGAGGAAACAGGAGGGTTGGAGGTGCAGGGAGTGACAGTACTGGCCACCCCAAAGCCTGCCCTCCAGGCATGAAGGACAGACAGAGGAGGAGACCAATGGGACTGAACAACAGGCCGAAGATTTGGGTTGGGTAACTGGACCAGACAGGGTAAGACAGGGCCGACAGGATACATGGGCATAACTAAAGGGGTAGAGCCGGTGGTGAATTTTCCACACTTTGTGCCTCAGCATCGAAGACCCTGCACTGTTTATATGGTCTGCCACTTCATGGTTGAGTTTCTGTTTGTAAACGCTTCCACTTTGCAATAATAGTAGTACAGTTGAACATAGAATATCTAGCAGGAAAGAAATCTCATGAACTGACTTATTGCAAAGGTTGTAGCCTATGACAGGAACATTCTTGAATTCGCTAAGCTCTTCAGAACAACCCATTCTTTCACAAATGTTTGTAAACCTGACTTCATGGCTAGGTGCTTGATTTTATACACCTGTGGCAATGGGTCTGAATGAAACACTTGGATTCAGTGATTAAGAGACGTGTCCCAATACTTTTGTCCATATAGTGTAATCCAAGACAATAAGTAAGTGATCTTGCATTTCCTTTTATAATTTAATTTGCATGGAACTGGATATGTCCAAGTGTGCTGACTTCTTCTGTTGCTCAGTTCTTACAGGAAAGAGAACAGTGGTGAGACTGACTGTCAGAACTGATGGAGAAATAAAGGATCCTGAATTCAGCAGCCATCTGTTAATGCAGGTCAGTTCATTTCTCTTGCATCTGTGGAGTTACACAGAGAAAGACACAAATTGCATATACAGTACAGTATATGCACAAGGAAATACTCTGTTGTTTTATTATCCAGTTACAGGAGAAACTAATCAGAGCAGGCATGTCAGAAAGCACTAGACTACAGTGGAGAACTCAACACAGTGGCCAAATCTTCAATATAAAATAGAAAGAGCATTGAAAACAAGGTAAAGAGTTTGCAGCATCCAGTTATTGAAGGTATAAGCAAATACATCTTCAGAATTGTTGTAATTATTATACCAATGCAAAGCCATATGTGTAACAGATTATATGGCATTACATTCATCTAGCAGATGCTTTTGTCGAAAAAGATGTACAGTGAGGTAGATAATTCATAACGCATGTGATTACATTATGTCCTGATGTTCCCTTTTCAGGTGTCTGAATTTGGAAGAGACTAGCCCTGTGTGTCTGGGGCTGCAGAGGGAGCTGTGGACCAGAGCAACCTGACATGCATTCATTTCAGACCTCAGAACTCAAAGAAATGCTAGCTTGCTGGTGAATTCTGGTGATTGTAAACTTGGAACATTTTTGCTAATCCTGAAACAGATAACTGCTTATTGCATTTCAGGCCTCACACTGCTCACTGCTTTCCTTGGTGTGATTCAGTTTAATAGATGATAAACATTTAGAGGTGAAAATATTTTCCGCCTAATGATTCCAGGGTTGTGGGTTTAACTCCTGCTGCAAGTTCTGTATTTGTGAAGCTTGAATGTTCTCCTGCCATTTGCATGGGTCTCCTTTGGATACACAAGATACCCTCCACAATTGTTGATAATAACATTTAATAACATACAGCAAATTACAAATTATTGCATAGGTGTGTTAAGTGTTGTGTTCCTACTACATGTATTCAACCTTAGTGAGGAGTAATAAAAAGTCTTATGTACTATGGGCTCATTAATGTAGCAGATTGTAAAATTCATAAGGACTGCATGGAGGCAGGTGCCAGGAGGACAGAAGCATGCTGTGCAGACCCCTGATGAACAGTGGCAAGTGGTGCAGGCATCAGTGGGCAATCCATGGACATGGCTGATGCTGGAGTGGCAGTGGCCCATTCCAAATTAGGGATGTGAAGCTCTGGCAGAATTAATGCAGGCATGTTGTCCTTGTCGATGTGGTGAGCCTGTCTTGGTGGACTTTCTCCTTTCGCCAGGGGTCCAGAGACACGAGGGATCCCATCTCCTGCATTCGTAGGGTACTTCAGAGCCATAAGAGAGCCTCTCCAGGGGTTAGGGGAAATGCCACGGGCTGACCAGAGAGAGTGGGCTGACAGGGATGGCTTCAAAGGCTCTCTGGGGAAGCCACTGTGTCGGTTGAAGAGTCTGGTCATTTTGTCGTCATGTCTTAAGACAAACAAAAGAGAACCGGTAACAAAACAGGACCACACAGGGTCTAAAGGGGAACTGGGTGTAATTAAAGGTGAAGGGACCAAACACAAGGTGGTACGGGGCCAAATAAGCAGGGATCACACAGGCACTGACACAGGAAGCAACATGGGTAATGATAATGACCGGATAGGGCTGATGAGACAGACAGGCACTCTTATACAAGACTAATGAAGGTACACTGAGCAACAAGCATGGCTCATTAGGGCCATGTCAGGGAGGAGACAGGAGGGCCAGGCATGAACTTCCATTGCAGCCTGAAACATTTAATAACATTCCCAACATACACCGCAGCTACAGTACAGAGAAACAGTGCCATCAGGAGAACCACAACGCGGGACTACATTATCATGATTGGGTGTCGACCTCACATATCTCCCTTAATTCAATAGAACTGGTCAAGTTAGATGGACAAACCTACTTTGAGACAGTGGAACAGGAAATGTGGAATATTCATTGGGAACATCAGTGAGACCATCAGATCTGGTGGGCCTGTGCCACTCCAGAAGGGTGGCCGTGGTGTGGCTGCAGAGTGATCTAAATCTAGGTAAGATGGCTTGAGGCAGTCCACAGAAATGTACTTAGACCTGCCCACCACAAAAATTTATAGGGACTGTTGTACAGTGGTTGGAGAGGATCAGGATTGACTCATGCCAAGCAAACACATATTCTGCAGTTTGCAGTAGGGCTGGGCGATATCATAGCGATATTATATCGCGCAGGCGCAATATATAATCACTAGGGCTTCAGATGACAGGCGCAACATTTGGCCGTGCGCCAGCTTTTCTGTGCTATATGGACATTTATTTACGCCCACAATTTAAGCAGTTTAATAGTATGGCTAAAATATTAATGAGGCTTTGCATCAGAGCATGTGAGCGGAGTGGAGCGGTGAGAATTTCCGCTCATTGCTCACGAGGCTGTTGGCTCCGTCCACTCCATTCACACTAAGCCGCTCCGCTCAACACCGCTCCTCGCTCCACTAAAATTTCCTCCCGCTCCAGTCAAATCGCTCCACGCTCGCTTCAATTTAAAAGTGGGACAAATAATCTGCATGCCTAACAAATGTCACTTTAAACCGAAGCCTTATATCATGAAGAAATATGAGCAGCGGCAACATTGCCACTCAGAAAATATTTATTTTTAAGCAACATATAGGCTAGGCAATAACCAGGGGCGGATTAACGCACAGGCTAGATATGGCTTAAGCCTAGGGGCCCCACGTGTGCCAGCCTGCAAGGGGGCCCCCATTGGTGCGCAGGGGGGCGGGGTTGGGGGGCCCACAGACTACTGTAGCCTAGGGGCCTCTGTACACCTTAATCCACCCCTGGCAATAACAGACAGGTTTGGCAATGGCATTCCACACAAAAATAGGCTTAAAAATAAAGGAATCAGTGGGCTTTATAGCCTAAAGAATATACAGGCTAAGCATCCACGTTTTAAATTCCTCAATTTTTTTTCTGCTTTCTGCTGCTGCTGCGTCTCTATGAAATAAAATTTCACTGACAGCGTTACGTGAAATTTAAAAAATCCTATTAGACCTAGGCTACTTTGAATGTCAAAACGAATTTATTTGATTACCAATATTTACTTTATAGGCTTTTATACCTTAATTTACTTCATAGACTTGATATGCTACAACCATATAAAACTTGCTCACGTTTTGCTCTGGCTTCCGCCTGTTCGCGTACACTGTAAAAAAGTGGTTGGCATTGGCTCAGTTACACATACTGGGCATACGAAGTTACCCTATAAGTGGTATGAATAAAGGATTCATGGATGAATTATGAAACAACTTGGATCAGTAAATTTATTCAAAATGAACACCAGTAACGGCGACCATCAAATTCTAAAACTGAGAAATGTCAAGTGTAAAGCTGGGATTAATATATAAAAGAACTGATTGATATAGACAATTGAAAATATGTGCATAACAGACCATTGAAATTTTAACGTACAGTATGATTGTCTACTGACCACTTCTGCAATAATATCAAGTACTTGGGGACCAAAACCGCATCCTGGTTGCCAGCAGCGGAGGACACGAAAAGGCGGAGGGGTTTCAGTTGGGGGCCTACTGCAAAAACAGATGATCAAGCAAAACTCGCAACAATCTACAAAGAACGCCCCTTCCCCGGGTCGGCAAATATTACCGAGAGGGACCCCCTCGTTTCCCCTCGTCTCTTCCCGTGAGACCCCAATTCTTTCATCCACCTCTGCTGGTGGCTGATTTTTTAATTTTTTTTTAAAAAAGATCGGTCCTGATGTTGGCGCGCAGTGACAACTGGCTTACAGCACTGGAAAAGACAAAAATCGTTCCGTCCTATATTAATTCTGAGAAGAATTAAAACTGAAGCTCTCCTTTCTTGTGCTGTGATTAAGTGGTGACGTCACGTCGTTCACCTGCCGCATTCCAGATTTGTTCGACCGCTTCCGTATTTGATCTAGTGTGTAGAGAGACCATATGTTGTGACCAGCCGGACACATCTGCCTGTTTAGTTCGCTGGATTGCGGTAAATATTTCTTTACTCTTGAACTGTTTTCGTGAATACGTTTCTAATAATTTCGCAGCTCAGTTATTCTGGTCTTATTATTATTCCCATAATATCCTGCGGGTGAGATTAATGAAAAAGGTTGGCACAACAATTTTCATTGACTAGGTTCATTGTAGCGTACTCGGTACTGTTAGTTATATTATTCTTAGGTATTTAATAATTGTTTTTACGGAATATGAGGTTTTCTGTGGACTGGGAAATAGGCTATGTTGCTGGATTCCGGAAATTTGAAAATGAAAACGAAACTCAATCTGCTACAGAATTGTGGGGAAATCTGTCATTTTCTATTTTCTGCTTTTTGAATGTTAATTTTTAAAATTGAGTGCTGTACTGGATGACATTATAATAAAGTGTGGGGAAATAACCATGCATGTATAAAATTAGGTATTTCCCTGCACCTACTCGCATGTATGCTGACAAGCACTAAACTAAACGAAACAAATACATATCAGTATAATACTAAATGCATCGTTCTTTGCGGTCGAGTTCTGTTACTCTAAATCGCAAACATTTTGTTTTAGGAATTGTGTTTAGGAGTAAAAGTCAGTACAACAAAGGGGAACCCTGTAACATGTGACATGGAGCTTTCCCTTCTGGTCAGCAAGTTTCACAGACAGTTTTGTTGAATTGTTTGCGTTTGTGTGGTAGTTCATGAGGGGGCATCACAGGGTATTTAGGTGTTTTGTTATTGTACTCGTTATTCTGCATGTCCATGGTTCACCCTGTTTGTACAAGGAAGCAGTGCTTTCCAACTTTCACTTTTACTTTTGAGGCACTAGGCCTACTTGTTCTTTTCATGTTTTAGTAAATAATCAACAGCATACCATTGCACCCCTGAAGTTTCTTCCCGAATTTGTGGTTATTCTGTGCTATAGGTTGTTTCTTTTTTACAGAAACTCTTTCCACCCTTCAGTCCCATCTGTATGGGCCTTGAAGACGACTCGGCATGGCTGGTCCAGTTGAGGAGAACGTGTTAGAGGAGGAGCTGACATGCCCCGTATGTCTGGAGCTTTTCCAGGAACCCCATCTGCTGCCCTGTGGGCACAATTTTTGTCTTCAGTGTGTGAAGAGGCTGAAGAACAAAGGGAATGGATCTTTGAAGTGTCCAGAGTGTAGGAAGATCCATCGATGCAATGTGCCACTGCAGAAGAACTATCGGCTGGCCAACATTGCCACAGAATACCGTAAGAGAGGCCAGCTGTCAAGTGGATTGCTAAAGACCGCCCCTGTCAACATTGCATGTGACTATTGTTTGGATGAGCAAGCTCCTGCAGTGAAGACCTGCTTGAAGTGCGAGGTGTCCATGTGTGGTGAGCATCTGAAGCCACATCTAGAAAGGCCTGCCTTTCGGGAACACCCCTTGGTGAAGCCTTTGGGAGATCTGAAGAATAGGAGATGCCCTGAACATGATGAGATGTTCCGATACTTCTGCCTGGATGATAAAGTGTGCATTTGCAATGCCTGCACCATTGAAGGCCAGCATGCTGGACACACCATAAAGACCCTGAATAACATCATGAAGGACCTCAAGGTAGGCTGCTTACTGAACGTATCCACCCATGACGCTGCCCATTTTGTGAAAAGACCCGGTAAGGTTCTAGCATAATGTTCTATTGTTTTTGTTTTGCGTAATAGTCCTTATTATCATCTGCATGTTCCTGTGTGTAGGGTGGTCTGACATATTATATGAAATCTCTGCATGTCTCTTGGCATGTCACAGTAGCAGTGGCTAATTTACTAGCCTCTTCATGTTTTTAACTGCTAACTCAAAGTGTTGTAATACTTTGAGTTCCCTGATTCAGGGAAATTGTTACTTACATTTAGATGTTCTCAAATCTAAAACTACAATTTTTTTAGGGTAATTCATAAGTGGCCAGTTGTCATTTCCTTGGCTACTGATAAAACTTTGGGCAGTTTGTGGCTTTGGTTATACAGTAACTTTGCCTAAGATTGGAAGGCTGCTAGTTAACATACAGGGACTGACAGTGATTCTCAGTTTTGGGTCCTTGAGCAAAGTCGAAACCCCCAATATCCCCAGGATGATCTTGCTTTCTCATTCTCACTTGTATGACACTTTGGACAAAAACATGACTATAACCACTTGCTTTGTACTTGACAGGGATGCTAAAGTATACACAACACATTCAATAATATTTACATTAGTAGGAAATAAAATATTCATTCTAGTAAGAAACTGGCTTTTGTAGTTGTGACTGTCAGTAAAGTTTCAGCTAGACTGGGTTTGATATTTGGAAGAAATTTGTTGTTTTTTTTTGTTTATTTAGGTTATGCTGCAAATTTAACTCATTTAAAATGGTTCCCATTATATACAGTTTATGTTCCCAATGCGTTTCCCCCAAGTTAAGTGAGTTTAATACAGGGATTACATCTGTAATTGCGCTTGATGACCACTAGAGGGGTGAGGTGATGCGAAATACAGTAGGGGCATTCACAATCAATGTTTAATCTTTCAGGCAGATTAATTAATCAGAAAATTCATTATTTAAAACACCCCAGTATCACTTCAATTGTTTATATCATCGCACATTCATGGGTTTAATTTTTTATATTTATAATTTTTATATTTATAATTTACTTATTTCCTGATTATTTTTTAACTCATCATAAGTATTGATATGGTGATAGCTACTTGACACACCAGTTCAACCTGAAATAGTAATTATTAAAGATATGCTTGAGAAGAGCATTTCTGTAGCTTGTCTCTGTTCATTAACAAACCAGGCATCCCTGGAGATTCAGCTGCAGAAGACAAACAGGAAAATAACCAAGACAGAGAAAACCCTGCAGGAGAACCGGAACTACGAGCATGAAAGCCAGGTCAGCAGAGTCACGGGTCAGGCAACGGGTTTTAGCTCCAAGTAGAAAACAGGGAGCTGAGACGTATAGCTGGTGTACTTGGCCTCTTAGTGTGCAACATATGCACTTTATATCAGTTTTTTTCTTGTTTGTGCAGACATCATTAATTAATGTGTCATGGCTTTTCTGCAAAGACCTTTTTTGAGGAGACTGCACTACAAGTGGACACGATGGGCCAGCACCTTCGAGCCGAGCTGGATGGGTTTCTGTCTGTGTTGAAAGAGTGCATTAGCACATCTCTTGGCCTGTCGGAACCGCAAAAAGAGCAAAACCTGAGGAGGATCATGAAGGACCAAGCAAGACTGCAGGAGGTCCACACGGGAATAGAAGCACTCCTGAAAGAGAATGACTCATTCTCCTTTGTGCAGGTTAGTCAGGGAACCCCAGTAATACCTGCTTCTATTATCTTTGCCATTTGCCAAAGAATGAAGTAGCACCATTGGTAACCTCAGCAATCAATTTGCAAACTTTAATCTAATAGAGGAAAGATTGCGCTCTTAATTTCCTGCTGACTCATGTTGGAAATTTACAATGAAAGTTATTTCATATTTTTTTCCAGGAATATGGGTCCAATGGAAAAAAGTGAGTATGAGCGGGACTAAGGAATATGTTATGTTGGAGTGTGCATGTGTATGTACATATACAGGGATGCACATATCTGGTACACAAGTATGCATTCACCTTTATCACCGTTATAACAGCGCAAATACATACTTATTTTATACACATTTGCACTGATATCACAAGAAATTATCAGACATTTTAACCTTTATATGCTCATTTGTACTTCATTTGTGGTATAAAGGTTAAAATGCATAGTAATTTCTTGTCATGGTAGTGTAAATGTGCAAAATGCGTACATATTTGCACTGTTACAACAATATCGTTTCTAATGGTGAATGTGTATTTGCATATCATTTATCTGCATCCCTGTATTTATATATACAGTCATCCATGTATGTTTTGTGTCTGTCAGTATCCACAATTGCACAGTTACAGTATCAGTGTGTCTTAGAAATGCTTCTATGTGCGTATGTGCGACTCGTTGACCGTTCATGCCCTTGTGGCCTGAAAAAGGCTGAAGAAGCTGCTCAAGAAACCACTATGTTCCCTGGACTATGAAAATGTGGACGTGGAGGGCATGGCTGAAAGCATGGAGTCCAAGCTAAATGATTTTCAAATTAAGCTCAAGGAGCGAGTTTCTAAACTCATAGAACTTGTGGGTGAGTACCATGCTGAGCATATCACAGTCTAATAGGTTAACCTCCCATGCGAGTAAAGGAAAAAATATATGAGGAGAGGTTTGGCAGCTAAACTGGTGTTCTAGCTAGAAAAAAAGCTTGTTACCTTTAATGGTGTCATAGTTAATTTGCACATGTTAAATTGTTTTTTTCCCTTATCAAATATACTAGGGCTGCCACTGACTATTTTTCTATAGATTAGTCTATCGACTATTTTCCCGATTGGTGATTAATCGAAACGATTAATTTTCCTCCAAAAAATCAAATAGACTGTTTAAGTTCATTTTATTCTGGCAGCAACAAACTGTATGTTTTTGCTGGGCTTTAGATTATGAACCCTGGCTTTTTGCCACTATATGGACATTATTTTCACCCACAATTCGATCCGCACATTAGTAGTATACCTGAAATATTAATGAGATGCACATCCCAAAGTTAGTAATCTGTATAAATTTTGCATATCCTTATGCTTATTAAATTTGGTTTGGTTAGTGGAGCACGCCACAGGCGACTGTTTTGGTAAATCATGGAAGTGATAAGCACTGAAGTCAACCACAACATCTTTTAAAATAGGAGATGTTGTGTATCAACAAGGTAAAAAGATGTTGGTGATGTGGTGCTGCTTTTTGCAGATTAAAATCTGACACTTTTTAAAAAAAAATCTTTTAATTTCTATTTCAGTTCACAAGTGATTTTCTTTTATTTAGTGTCCATTTTTGTTTTAGTTTACGATAATGTCACTGGTCCCAACAAGCCCAATGCACATGAAGACACAGAACCGTCAATCCATTTAGAATAAGCCCAGATTTTAGCCTAAACATTTTCACACCTATTCAAAGGAGATTTTAAGGTAGCAGGCAGACAACTTCATGGCTTTAATAATGAGTATATTTTTGCTACATGGAAAAAATATTAAAAATCTCTCTGTACTGATGGTAATTTAATAAACATAAATAGATAACACTTACGGTGGTTTTGCTTATTCTGGCCCAGAACAGCACCTGTGCATTTCCTTCAGGCGTTAGTTCTTAGTTCTAGTGCCCCGGTATTATGCCATCAAACTTTGCACAATGTAAAACCACCCTTTTGTGATAATTTGAAATAGTCTCATAATTATGTTGTGATATTAAAGGAAAACATTTGTTATGATGAATTGAAGCGTTTTAGAAATCATAATGGTAATTTCATTAAAATAATGATTTTAAAAAAAGATGCGTCGATTGAAAATATTGATGTCGACGCATTTTCACCATCGACATCATTGACTACGTCAGCTAATCACAGCAGCCCTAAAATACACATTTACTACCTAGATAAATAGCTTTAAACATTTCTGTTGACTGCCTAAGACTTTTGCACAGTATTGTATATATTATTTTTTTCTAGTTGCCAAGCATGGTGCAGAGGAACAAGGTCAGGAGGTGGAAGGTAGTGACGATGACGATGATGACCACGACGATGATGATGGCGATGACAGTGATGATGATGATGATGATGATGATGATGATGATGATGACGACGACAGTGATGATGATGAGGAGGAGGAAGATCAGCAGGATGTTGAGGGGGAGGAAGAAGAGGAAGTAGAAGAGGAGGAGGAAGAGGACGAATAAAGGCACTGTGAACTTGTATTTAAAACCAATTAAAACTTCAGTTTAAGATTTCCGTCTCTTCCTATAAACGGAGCATTTGGTTTGTGTTTTTGGTGGTGGGGACATGGCTTCTTGAAGTTTACATTTACACAGCCTGAGAAAGGTGCAGCAAAAGCCAAAGAGCACTGTCATCAGTCTCCTCACCATTCAATAGGAACAGCAGTGATTATGTGGGTGATCCCTGGTGAATTCACTGCCATTTATGCTTACGTCACTCATGCATTTGCAAGTGATTCTATTAATCCGACCTCATCTCTTGTCTGGGCGCAGTCATCATAATACCTGCTATTATGTACAAAGTCAATCCCAGTGTGGATGTTTGAACATAGTACCATGGCTGCAAATGCTGTCCCCTGCCAGATTATTCTAGAGATCTTTGCCTATTCCCATATACTCATGATATTTTTTTAAAACAAAAGTACAGGTGGTTTATCAACCACAGCAGTTTTATGATCAAAAACTTAATTAAAATTAAATTAAATTAAATGAATATATATATTTTATTTTTAAATAATGATATGTTCAAAGGATGGGGTGATATGTTCTGAGGAATGTCCTGCACTCTCCTTTTATAATTATTACGTCTTTTTATCATGATTTTTGGATCAGCCAGTAAAAAGTGCATCCTTAATATCCCTTAATCATTGTCCATCATTGCTGTCAAATGATCATTATGTAAAAAATAAATCACTTTGTTACTGGATATTTATTAATCCTTTATTAATGAATACCTTTCCTGGTATTCATGGTAATCTTGCACCACTCAAAACTCAGGTAGGAAGAAGAATCTGGTATCTGATGCACCCATAGCTGCACAAACTGACTCATTATTTATGAAGCAGGGTGTTGTGGCTGCACTTCTTAGTTCGAACCATTCTCTTTACTTGGTTAACTGCAAAATACAATTTATTCCCATGTGTATTCCTTTTTTAATTCTTCATTGCCCTCCACTGGCTGCTAGTCGTCACTGCGGCAACATCAGCAACAATATATTCTCTTCCACAAAAAAATACCTACCTTCTACAAAATGGCAAAATCTAGAGGTAGTAAACACAGCAAAACAATGCCACTTGGCAAAAGCAACATTATGTAGTGCTCTCATTTATTCATTATAATTAATTAATTAATAATTAATTAGCTGCCAAAGATGTAGTTAACTCATAACATAGCCTTGAACCCAGACAGGTTGGTTATACTGTCTTGCAGTTCTGGAGGAATCTGAGTCTTGTTCTTAGTTCAGTGTGATCTGGAGTGTAGTTGTGTCACCTTGCACAACAGCTTGATAAACGAGTTCTAGGTGCATCACCCAAGACATACATTCTTTTCAGGCCTGTTGTCAGCTATGAGGTCACTGAGGTTTGGACCTTGGTAATTTCTTGAGAGCTAAAAATCATATTTGAAGCTAAATATTCACCTGAATAAAAAATGGGCTTGATTAGGCTAACTAATGTGCCACAGAATTAATTAATTAAAAAAAAAAAAAAACAGTTTTTGAAGGGGATAGTACCAACAATGTGATTGATGAGACCCACCCCTCCACCTCAAGGTCCCGGACCTCACTCTTTTTCAAGCCTTGGCTACAGCCCTGATTCTTTTCTCCAGCTGCTTCCTCACTGCAGGTGTGAACCTAGTGTCACTCTTCTTCACATGATATGGCTTCCTGATGCGCGCTCTGTCCCCTGGCTGGAAGGTGGGAGATATTGCACCGTGTTTTTCCTCTGTGTACTGCTTACATTTAAGCTGGTGAAGCTTTACACGGTCACATATGGTTTGATATTGTCCAGTTTCACCAGTAGGCAGCATATCAAGCTTGGTCCTCATGGGACATCCATGCAGAAGCTGGGATGGCATGTGACGTTGCACAATACTGATGCGGTAGTAGAAGGTGTATGTTGCAATTAAATCAACTGGATGCAGTTAGGACTCTGTTCTACCATTCTACAGCACTGTTTGATTGTAGGTGATTAACACTGGTGCAAATTTAATGAAGAAGTGAATTGTGGACCATTATCAGGCACCACTGTGTAAGGGTTAGCTTATACAAGGGACCTGAGGCTCAAAACAAATGAGCAAATCAGAAAACACAATGACAATTCAGAAAACACAATGACAAATTAAATAACAACTCAGAGAACACAGCAACAACAGTCTGGTCTGAGAGCAAATTGCTGTCCCCACAAGTACACTTGCCATTTTTCAATGGACCACATGCACGCAAGTGATCAAAAACTAAATTAAAATTAAATGAATATATATATTTTATTTTTAAATAATGACATGTTCAAATATGCCTGTGTAAATGTGCAGGAAGTAAACGTGACTATTTTCTCAGTATTGTCTGGGTGCAATTGTGATAGAACACTGCCTAGCCCATAATCTAAGGCATCCGTGGTCACAAAGCTGGGCAGGCTGTGGTTAAAGTAACTGCTGTGCTGTGTAGTAGCAACGATTTGAATCATGCAAAACTCTCTCCATCCTCACCTGTCCAGTGTTTTGTCCAGCGTGTAATTGCTTTGTGGCAGGCTTATAATTGTTATATCTTCTCCAAATTTCAAATGGAATTGTAGGCTCACCTGCACACTGCAGAAAAGGCGGAGAGAAACGGCCATCCTTATCGGCAAATTGTTTTTGCTGTACTCAAAGAAAAACACACGAACTTCTTAGTTCGGTCCATTCTCTTTACTCTAACCAGTTAACAATACAATTTCTTCCCATACATTTGTTTATTAAATCTTCATTGCCCCCTAATGGCTGTTAATTGTCACTGCAGCAACACAACATAGGGGTATCCATTTAAAAAATCAGCACCGTGTCTTAGGCCCTAATTCACCTATATTCCGAATACTTATCCTGGACAGGATTCATGTCTAACACTAGGCACAAACTATGGAAGTTAACCCATGTGACATGGGAAGAATATAACACAGTCAATGGAACCAGAATGCAGGACAAATGCTATAAACAATGGAAATGAATAATGCAAGACTGATATCACCTTTTCCCTTTTACCAGAACAATGACAATGTAATTGAGAATAATCTGAGACTTATATCTCTATGTGTATTTCACACTGCTAAGGACTAATAAAATGTAGTGGTTGCAGTGGAAGTGGATATAAATCAATACACACAGATGCACATGAAGGAATGAGACAAAATACACATTTTTAGTATTTTCCTTTTCTTATTCACAACATTAGAGATAATGAAAACTCTTTCCATTATATTTCTTTCCTAAACTCTCGCTTTAAGACATTGCAATGAGGTATACTACATAAAAGAAAATAGAATATACTTCTTAAGCTTAATTTTACTTAACATCAGTAAAATCAGTTAATCAACGGCAGTCTTATTTGAGAAGATGGAGTGGACTTCTGTCTCAGGTATCGACAGGTATCATGTTTTTCTGATGAGAAGGAAACATGAAGCATGAATTCCCGCACACAGCTCATCCAAAAAGAGGATTTTTCTCTCTAAAGAGAGATCTCAGGATATATATTTTGCCATTATAAGTTTCACTTTTTTGTTTTCATATTTCCCTAGTAAAACACGTTTTTGTTGACAATTAATGCTCAGTTTTGCTTGGTGGAAAAAATCCACATTTTCACCTCCTGGTCCAATCTGGGACACCTGGGCTTCTCTGCTGGGTCTGATATCCAATTAACACCAAAAAGGAGTAAAAAATAAATTTTAAAATATTAAAAATGAACACTTTTTAAAGATAAAGTTCTTAAATTTGGACATAATGTGCAAGGTAACAGGTATGAGCACAGGGTAAAGGGCGTTGTGTTAGAAGGTCAAGCTTTGGTCTCATTTTAAAAGTCAACAAAATGTGATAAAAACTGTAATATGTATTAGGGAATCTTTATAATAGCTTTGAAAGCAAACAATAAGGATTTATTCATCTTCGTCATCACTATCATCATCGTCGTCATCGTCGTCGTCGTCATCATCATCGTCATCATCATCATCATCGTCGTCGTCATCATCGTCGTCGTCATCATCGTCGTCGTCATCATCATCATCGTCGTCGTCATCATTATTGTCATCATCATCGTCATCATTATCTTCATCATCATCATCATCAAAATCTGGGTCAATCTTGCCCTCTATAACATCTTGAATCCATTCTTCCAGCTCTTCTGCAGTGGGCATGTCATCATCATCATCCATGGCCATCCATACGCTGTCAGCCTGAGATCAGAAGGGACATGACAACATCAAAAACCAAACAGGTCTGAATCTGCATGCTGCTGATGTTATGCAATATTAATGTCATTGTTCAGTCTGCCAGGTGACTGTCTTACATCTTCAACATCAATAACACCAATCTGTGGGGATGACAGGTCGATGTCAAATGTCTTCTCCCAGTATGGGACAAGCTAGAGAGCATAGTGAGAAGCAGTTAGGATAATAATGAGGACACACAAAGCATGAACAGAAACTCATACAAATCCATACTACAAGTGTGTTTTCCATAAGAATTCACCAAAATAATTACACCAAATGAAATCATAATGTGCCAAAAAAAACTTCAAAATCTGTTGGAACACTAGTGAAAAAAGAAAACTTAAAGTTATTACATTTTCTAAATGTTTTTCTATGTTCCACGTAAACATCTCCTCAATCCAAGCCAAAATTTGCCGCTACATTTGGTTATACACTCACCAGAGGGAAATCATCAGGATCAATCCAGATGATGCTGAGATTAGGGTATTCTGTGTTATCTCTGGCCACCTCTATTAGAATTTCCAAAAATTCATAACCATCTAGAAGATATTAAGCATAGTGTTTGTTAATTGAATTTCAATTGACTTTCAACACAACACTGTTAATTTAACTTCATTATGAGTAGTATTTATTTTGAAAATAAATAAAAATGGAATAAATTATATTATGTGTCACACCTTGCTCATTTTTTATTCTCATCATAGATCATAGATTTAATTATATTAAGTGAATTTCAGGACAAAATTCACACAAGGATCAATGATAATTATTCTACCTGGATCATCCTCCTCAGCAAATGCAACAATGTGTTGACCATCTATATCATCCTCCTGAATAACAGATTATAAAACAGCTTTGTTACATGTTACTTTTGGAGCTTTGCATACAATAGCATATAATATAACAATACAATTCACTTCTGTAGCTGTGTCATTGTCTTCCCCTTTTGACTGCAATTAGATCAGGTCATCAGTGAAATATATAGTATGATGCAATCGGTAATATGCAGATATGAAATATGCATTGATGAACGATTCTTACCCAAGTCTCATACATGCTATGGGGCTCCAGCTTTCTAAGAGTTGGTCTGAAATTTAACAAAAAGATAAAAAAAACAGTTGTTCAATAACAAATTCTCAGCAAGAAACATACAACATCCTGCTTTTCTTGTTCTACTGAGGCTAAAGCTCATTTTATCAAAATATTTTATGGCAGACCAACAAGTATCTAAATCTCATATGCAATTCCATTTGTCACTGTTTTTTGCATGTTCTGGCTGTCACACTGTGCGAGCGGCGAGCAGGCAATGGAGGCGAGAGCAGCCAGGTTGACGGAAGAACGGGGTTTATTACGGAAGAACGGGGTTTATTACGGACGAACAGACAGGACGGGTACTCACAAGCATTAGACGATGACAGATCTGGGGGAAACTAACCGAGACGTGGACTAAATACACAAGGCAAACTGAGTTTAACGAGCAACAGTGGAGAACAATCAGGCATAAACACGAGGTAACGAGGTGGGCGTGGCACACACAAGGATCGTACGGAGCGGGCCGTGACACTGGCATATGAGTTATATTATTATATACAGTGAAAGTAATGCCCTTGATCAAAAAAAATCTACATATACAGCAAAATTAGCTAACCAGTGTCTGCTTGTGTTCTTGAGCTACACTATACAGGGACAGCAGCTTGTCCTACATCTCATTCTGGAACCAAGGGCATCCATATGAAGTTGATCCACTCTATGTTGTTATAATAGCCTCCACTTGTCTGGGAAGGCTTGCTATGAAATGTTGGAACGTGGCTGGTGGGATTTGCTGCCATTCAGGCTGGGTATCCATGCTGGCTAATCAGGTCCTTTTCTGTAAGCTAGTGTGACCTTCACAGTCACGTCACTTGCAGGCTGACCTGGGCGGCTCTCTCAAGGCAGAAATGTGCCAAACTGACTTGCCGCTAACCTCTTCTATAAAACCACCCATTCTGCTTCAAACGCTTGCTGCAGGAGATTTTCTGAATGTTCACACTGCTAAGGACTGAGGTGTATTTATATTACACACCTATGTCACTAGTGCGTGGGGCTTAATTAGGAAATTCCTCTAATTTACAGTGAGAGCTAGTTTTACAGAGAATGTAATCTGGGGGAGCAACTGAATTTTTGCCAACCGAGAGTAAAGGGGGTTCCTGAAGATTTATTTTGCTGGCCAGGGGGGCATGGGAAAGATGACGGTCTGATTGTCCAATCAATTAGGCTTCCATCTACATTGTGCATGTGGTGGCACATAGAACAGTCCAGCAGTGGTCTACAACCTATTATTTTTTTTAATTTTGCAAACTGGCGACCACTGTTTTAATTAATAAATGTGTCTACACTTTTGTCCATATACAGTATGTCACTGTGTACTGTCCCTTATCTTTGCTCCAGTGCCAGTCATAAGGCAACATTGGCAGCCACTGGTACCACCCCCAGCAAGCTTCACTGCTGCTATCCACTACTGTGTACCCACCCCACCCCCGACTACGACTCACTGCACCATCCAAGACCAAGCGGGGGGGCTTCAGTCCTACCTGTCATGCCCTTCAATGAAGTGAACAAGTTCTGCTTCTGTATAGGGCTTCCCAGGGATTTCAACAGGCGTCTCCATGAATGGTTCATAGAAGTCAACCTCATTTATCTTCAGGTCCAACTTCTTGGCAATCTAGATGAATGGAAAGGGTAACAACATGTGACTATGGAGCCAGAGCAGAAATATTACATTTATTATTGTCATAATTATAAGAGCTACTCCTGCTGTTGGTCTGTACATGCATTGCTCAGAGTGTTCCTACAGAGAATTATAGAGATGGACCACTGCGTTTTGTTTTAGAAATGTATTTAGTTTAAAATGAATTTTGTTGGGTTTCCATACCTTGGTGTCAAAGGTTGCAAAAAACTTAACAAAAGGGTGGAACTCTTCAGCTGCATCATCATACTCAACAAAGTCTGGAGAAAGAGGACCAAAGTGTAGGCAGAAACCACAAACAGACATGCAATTCAATAACATTTGAAAATATTTAAGTAGGTTGATTCTGTGTACATACGAGGAGACTTCTCATTCTTAAAGTACCCCACAAGTTTTATGTCCTCTTCATTTCTGTGGAAAGCTTTGAGTTCTCGTTCATTATAAATTATTTCGACAGGGTCCTCAATGACCTGTTAAAATAGCAATAACATGATATTGGCATAATATTGCAGAAGGTCATGTAGTGATTTGAGCTGAACATGTCATAGTTTTGAGCCACTTGTAGCCACTAGAGGTCCTCATCGGCTCCTGGGCTCCAACACAAAAGGCTGCAAGAGCTGACATAAACACTTCACTTTAACCAAAGCAAATTGTTTAAGAATAACTGAATAAATATTAAGCCTCAACAAAATCTGTTAATGGTTAAGGTTGAGGTGAAGGTGAACCCTAAGCTTAGTGTAATAAGTTTTAATTTTTGCATATATTTTTAATGCAACACATAAAATGTGACTGCAGAAAATTTACCTATCAGAATGAACTACTGTTTGCACAGAACTTCTAAGTTTGGCTTACATCATATAGGAACTCAACCAGGGTGTCTGCTGCCAGCTCGCCATCATACTCAATGATCTCGTTGTCATAGAAAATATAGATGCTTTCCACCTCATCCAGACCTATGGTGGATAAAAAAGAAAAGCATGTCAGTGAAATAAGGGTGTAGTTTTTATATAAGTTTCTATTGATGTATTATTATCTCAAAAGCTGAGCTAAGTTCATCTTAATTCTTTGAACATGCATGATACAATCACATTGAAATGGGGTCACATTGCACTAAACTGTTCATGGAGGTATTCAAAGTATTTCATAGGAGATTATTTGTCAATGTGTTTGCGGGAGAACATTTTAAAACAAATTTGAGGAAGCAGTTCTTTACACAGCTGCTAGTGTAGCAGAACCTAAAACCCTGGGTTCCTTTAAATCAGAGCTAGATAAGATTTTAACAACTCTGAGCTATTAGTTAAGTTCTCCCCAAACGAGCTTGATGGGCCGAATGGCCCCCTCTCGTTTGTAAATTTCTTATGTTCTAAATTCTGGCTTTCAGAAATTAAACCAATTGAAGATCCTTGGACTTGGACTTGTAGTGGGAGTAGGTGAGACAAAGAAAGGGCAAGAGGACGGACATATGGGACAACAGAGTGCAATGGAAGGATACATTGGGTAAGGGGTCTGAAGAGACCAACAGATCAGGAACATAAACAAATTTCAGAAAGACAGTCAAATGAAAGTTGGAATTGAGGTGCTTGAGACAAAACAGTGCGAAAAAAATTACCCAGCTTCTTGGCAACGGCACCGTCTGTCTTCTCATCAACGAGACCAAAGCCGATGTCCTCATCGTCAAGATCGTCCAGGACCTGTGCGGCAAGCTGTGCAGTGCAGAGAGAAATACTGTAGATTCAGTGAGTCACCTGGAATAGCAGCAAATTTTGGAAGTCATGGTAGGACTTAATAATCACAGGACCTTCTCTGATTATTTCTGTTGCTTGGCAGAGTGTCCAATGTGATGGCTGCAGCTTCACATCCTAGATTTACGCCAACCAAAGCTCTTTGTGGTCATATATATATATATATATATATATATATATATATATATATATATATGATATATGCTTTTTATATATTTATCCTTTCCTGCAGTATTTAAACAAGGATAATTTTGTCTGAATTCTTTGAACAAGGATGAGCATGACACCGAAACAGGGTCATATCACATTACACTGTTCTGGAGGTATTCTAAATACAGTACTGTAGGAGTTTATTTGTTACTGTGTCCAAATTTTGCCTTTCAGTACTGTAATTAGACCAATTGAAGCTCCTTGGACTTGGACTGGTTGAGAACTGACTTGGTGATTTACACAGGCTTAGTATAGAACCCAGAAACTAACCCTGCATTCTGGAAACCTACTGACAGTGTCTCACACCAATCAGAAGGTAGCATCTGTGATGGGTTCCAACTGGTTCAAAGTGATCAGAAATGTGAAAGGCCCTAGACCAAAATGACCCCATGATTTCCTGAATACATTGCAGCTCACCTCCATCCTCAGCTTAAATACTTCTCCTTAATGACAGAGCTTGTAGACCCTCCCATTTACAACATGCATTACCAGATTTTGGGGAGTACCAGCTGCTGAGAGCTAAGCTGTGTAATAGAAAATAATTGAATTCTTTCATATTTTATTATGTTGCATTAAATCTAAAATCTGACATCTGTCAAACTCGATGTTTTTCATTTGTGTCACTAAGCTATCCAGTCACCGTCAGTCACGAAATAGGTCCCTGCATTTGACCTTCTGTGACTTTGTGGAACCCATATCTGTGAGTGCTGGTAAAATCCAGATAAAATGAAACCATGAGGACCAAAACCCATAGTCCAAAGTAATCTCTATCAAGCTCCCAATTTTGTACAAGTGCATCATTCAAGTGCAGCCATGAGTGAAATTCAAAATAAAAAATTAAATAAATTAAAAGTATTGCTGTCCGTTCGCAGCCAGGCAAACACCATTTTAATACTAGGATTCCCAGAAATGAGCAGATTTTTGGTTAGTGGCCATACAAGGTCATGCAATTTCTCTTGACTAGGAACATTATTACCCATTATCTTAACCATAAACATAGTTAAGCACCTTGCCAATAGCTCGTACAACAGCATCTCACAGCAGCACAAGATCTTGCCCCATGAACACTGACTTAATAGACTAAGACTAAGACTAAGACACAAAGAGTCTGGTTTATTTTTGGTGCCAATGGGACAAGTTCTATTTTTTATGAGAGCCTGAAGCCACCTGAAGCTAAAACATGTGCTCAAAACATATCAATAACTGTATGAATGGATGACTTAATAACGTATTATGAGTATTGATCATTTACGGTTGTACTGCCCCCCCAACAGAGAAACAACACATTCGCTGCAATGAAAATGCACAGTCACAGGCAATGTTTGGTACAGTCAACATGGACAGTGCCTGGACATACCTGGTACGTCAGTGCAGCTGGGCTGGTAAGTAACTGTAGAGAAAAGTCAGGTTTCAGACCACAGACAATCGACACAGACCAGAAACATTCATCCAGATGAAGCAAAAGGAAATTCAAAGAGGACAGAGTTGTTCAAAGTCTAGTAGCAGAACATGTCTCTGTAGCACAGTGGAGCTCATAGAGGCTGCAATTTTATAACCAAAGAATAATTTTAAAAGAAGAAAATGGCATTCAGTCCTACAGTGATCAATGTGAACTGCCATCAAGTGATCTATAGAGGACTTCCTAAAATGATGGTTAATAGACAAGAAGAATCAGAGTGAACAACAAATGGCAAAGATACTTAAGAAAGATAAATTGATTATTTGAAAGTTGGAGTCCATTGTTGGTAACTGCCTTAGATGGAATAAATGAAATTCTGTTTGTGGCTCATTTGCAATTAATACCGTGGATAGACTATGGTTAATTGCATTCGGCAGAGTGTGATGTACTATGTATTAGATGAGATGTCTATGACTAAGTTTATGATTGCAGATAATGTGAGCTTGATCATGTAAAGGTAAACCTTGCAATGTATTACTAAGAAAAATTCACAGTCAATTAATAAATACACCAAAGGAAGAGAGAGTCAGCTTAAACCTGGGGAAGAGAAATAAGGAAATAAGCAAATGAGTGGAACAGAGATATCAGTATCATAACTGAGAATGTCTGGAGGAGTTCATGGTCTGAAACACTTGTCAATATCATGTTCATTACAAATGAAGCATTTTATTAGAGCTATTTGATGAGTTCTGGGGAACAAAGGAAATTATGACTCCACAAGGTCGAGGACCAGCTGAAATTCCTGCTTCGCCAAAAACTGCGCTAACTGCCAAATTCTGATTAAGCACCATGTCATGTTTCTGCTCAGCCTCAAACCTTCTCATTAAGTAATTTGCACAAGAATCTACTATCAATGCTCAGCATCCCCTGAATCTGTAAAGTAACACTGCAGACGACCCGTGTTTCAGAAACTGGCCTTTATGAGTGAAATGTCATCGGGCATCCATGTCCATTTCCATAAAGCCCATACAGCCCAAATTATCCTTGCTTTTCTGTAGCCCAGTGGTGCCCTGTTCATGCTCACAATTAGCCTTTTTTTTACTAGGACTAAAATATAATATTTACATACCATGTTGTTCGGTTTCCTCAAAGACAGAGAAGTCATGGCGTTGGAGGCACCCACTGCCTGGAAGACTGAACATACCATGCACACAGTATAGTTAGAAGTCGAATCTTCTTTTTGTGACTATAAATGACAAGAGATAACTGCCAAACTGTTAAACCCAATCTAATATTAAAGCCTTCACCCCAAAACTGGCGAGCATGACTCTGTACTTCAAACACCGAAAGTTCGTGTTAGGTTGTTAATGATTTGCCTTTCATGGAGGTTAGTTTGTATTATAGCAAGAGTATTTATATACAGACACTCCTCTACTTACGAATGACATATGTTCCAATCGGCTATTCGTAACTTGAAATGTTCGTAAGTTGTTATTCAACATTATTTTAAGGGTATATGCAAGTATAAAGAACTAGGATGCTGGGAGTACGCACGGTGCGATGCTGCGCAGTGGGAGTAGCAGCCAGAGGTTGTAGTAGGCGAAACTGGTGCGCAGAAAAAAAAATTGATGTTGCAGACAGGAAACGGGAGCCCAACGAACACAATTTACAATGCTTTTCGTTCATATGTCTAAAAGTTCGTAAGCTGAAAGTTCGTAAGTAGAGGAGCGTCTGTATTTTTAGAACTGTTTTTTAAACTACCTTTATTCATGGTTTTCAAAAGTCTGTTTTCTAGTAGGTTCTAGCATATTTTGTATTTTTTTTTTTTTTGTCTTAACAGTTTGAAGTAAGGAACTGAAGAACAGCTAATGTTTTTGAAATTCCATGGTGTGCCAAAGTTACAGATCGTCACAATATGCGGGATGGAGGGCTCAACAGCAGCTGTTCAGCAAACAAAAGGAGATTTATTTAACCAAAGGGGAGCAAAGAAACAAAGTGAGGCAACGTGGGGTCAAAACGAGAAGGTTAGTATGGGGAAGGACATGGGCTGACATAAGGAGCTACGTTCATGAGAGTCGGGGTGGCTGGCAAGGATAGTGTGCCCCCATATCACCCTCCGGGAGACTCAGCCAAACCCTCTTCATGGCCCCAATTGACACTGCTGACAGCACCAGGACTCAGGAAGGGGTTGGTGTGGACTTCGGGTTGTGCCGGGTTAAGGCAAGGCCCAGAGGGTCTTCCAAGTCTACTCAACCTGGCCTGGCGGGCAACAGTCTGGCAGTGACCGGTGAGTTAGCTGCTGGCCTGGCGGCAGCCTGCAGGGGATAAGGTGGGCCATCGGCTAGCTGCAGGGAGCTGGTGGGTGGAGCGGCATGATGCTGTGGAGAGGTGGCAGGCTGAGTGGCTTCATAATGCGGAGAGATGGTGGGTTGAGTGACTTTGCACAGTGGAGAGGCAGCAAACTGACCGGATTCAGGGCCGGCTGAGTTGTCTTGTGTACCACTATTCTCTGCACATCAGCCAGCAAGTGCTGGACCTTCCCTGCCCCCTGGGGATCCGCCGCGTCCAGGGTGAGTCTTGCTAGCACCTCTCCGTAGACCAGAAGAGAGCTTCGGCATCGGGGATCCTCCAGATCATGGGATTACTCCTCCACTCCTGATTGGTATGCTTCACTTGAAGGCATGGTGGCTCCCACGGCAGTGGTACAGTAACTCGTTCAACCCCCGGATCCGAGGCACTCGGGGTATAAAGTTTGCTGGATGCAGGGCAGCGTGGAAGATGGAATGGAGGTGCAGACTGTCTGGGTTTTTTTTGGGATTCAGGTCATTCTGTCACAACATGCGGGACAAAAGACTCGATAGCAGTTGTTTGGCAAACAAAGGGGTCTTTAATTAATCAAACGGGAGCAAAGAAAGACAGCAAGATTGTGAGGGGTCAAATTGAGTAGGTTAGTATGGGGAAGGACACAGGCAGACAGGAGGAGTGACATTAATGACCGGACTGGGGCTGACAAACCAAACAGGTACTTATATACAAAGACTAACGAGGGGCAACAAGCAACAAGCGGGGGTCATCAAGCATGGCTCTCTGATTGATCACACTGCTAGAATATACCAGATGCTATACATGACAACACTTTAGAACATCTGCATTGTATCAAACCAACTGTACGTTAAAATGGAAAGTGTAGACCTTTTAAAACTTTCTTTTCAAAACTATTATCAGTACAGTTCAGAATGGTTATGTGAATCTTCACATAGCTAGTTCATTTGTAGGAAAAAATTGTTTAAGATAATGTTTAAGAAAGGAAAAAGTGGATATTCTGATATTCAGTACTGTTTATTGATATCAATCTATGAACATGAATAATAGACTTTCCAAACTTTGTCCCATGCTGGTCTAATTCTTTTAACTCAAAATGAATTCAGCTTGTGTTTACATCTTTAGAGGTCTGCCAAGGGGAAAAGATTTGTTGCTCCCATAAAATATGTTTGTCTCAATCCAAATTTTATTATTCAGACTAAGGATGATGTCTAATCAGGAAAAAGAGAAGAGCCCTTTAAATCCACTAGAGGAGTGATAGCCACCTAGATCTTCATGAAGATTTAGTGGCTATAAATGTAGCTTACTTAAATTACCGAGCAGGAGGTATTACTATTACTAATGGAAAATCAAACTAATTAGCTAATTAGGTGACTACACTCTAATGGGTTGCCTGATCAGCCTTTTTTTACACAGGCATCAACAGTTGATTGATAATTGCCACAATGCTGACATTTTACAATTACATTTTACCTAAAGCATGTCTCTTAGTCACACTCAATTGATGTGTTTATAGGGAGGAAACCATTCTGTTCTCTAAATGGAAACTTTCCTCTATTCATACTGCAGCCAGTGGAATAGTCACCACTTCTCCTGGTGGCATTGCCCACTGACCACTATGATGAATAATCAGACAATCCATGATTTATTTTGACATCATACATAATTCTGGCAGTGACATTTTTCTTTATACAGGTACATTAATGTAACTTGTGATTGTTCTGGAGTGTTCTCTAGTTGTGGTAGGAAAACCAAAGGGCAGTCTAGAGAAAAAACCCACTGTCTCTATTCATTCTCATTACAAATACAGGGGGGGGGGTGAATGGCTCAATGGGCTAAGTCTGTGCCTGTGACCAAAAGGTGGCTGGTTTGTGCCCCAGTCTCTGCAGAACAGTCACATGTCCATCAGCCCTTGAGCAAGCCCCCCCATCTCCAGGGGCATCGCCCGGTGGTTGACCCTATACTGTGACCTCCAAGCTATGAAGATCAACACAGGGAAGGCAAAGAGACAAATTCCTACGTCCCTCTACTTGAGCCAATACAGGATCAAACACCCAGATACCGGTTACTTGGAAAATATTTATTATTATAACTCATTTTTCAAATTCCAGTGTGTAAACGAATTTCATGTTTCGTTATTGTTATCTAATTTAAATTTCTAACATTGAAGGCCTACTTAAATATTTAGGGACAATAAAAGATATACTGTAGTTTATGATGTGAAAATGTGACTGTTGGTAATTAATAGATCATGATAAGTTCCCGCTGGCACAGATATGCACAGTTTCCACACTGCTACCTGTTATTTTTAAAGATCTTAATGGCCTAGTATGTGGCATATATTATTGTTCTGAGGACTAATGAAGCACATGTTCTACAATACAGGCTTCATATTTGTTGGTTATAGTAACTAATTAGTAGTCACTATAAGTATTAGTTACAACAACTAGAGTAGTTACTTCTAAATACAGTCCTACTCTAAAAATATACAATATATACTGTAATATACACACACACACATGCAGCTTTGGGAAAAATTAAAAGACCACTCTATATTTTTAAACAAGTATACATTTTTAAATCCTGGTTTAATCGTGATTTTGTTGGCAGAAGGCTACTGTCACGCCCTGCTCCGTCCGCTCCCGATGTGTGCCACGCCCCCTCATTAT